GCAATCATCAAAATAATCAATCTGCCGTAATATAGTGTAAAAACCGGTAGCATGATCAATAGTAACTACCGGATAATATTAGTTAATACCCTGACATCTCACATGAAAAGATACGTCATTAGCTCATACGTATTAAACTTATGTGAAATGATATTAAATTGATAATTCAAAAATATAATTCGATTTCCCTTTCTCCTTTAATACTACTGTACTAAAAAAATTAAAAATGAAACGTTCTTTTATAAAAGCTTCTGATTTTAAACCGCCATGTAGGTCGTGATAAATTATCCAGTTTTATGAAGTTGGTTTCATTACAGGTATTAATTGTGCTGGTAGGAGGATTGTAAACCATTCCCTCCGCAAACGTACAACTCAAAAATTGAATGACAGGGCATCACCAAACATTGCACAGTAGAGGTATACAATATGTATAGGTCACAAAATGAGCAGCAACGAGTTAACGTTGCAAAACTTATAGTACACAAAAGGTTTGTATAATATTATATATCATTTTACATTTACTACGTATACTATATTAGTTTATGAAATTTTACCGTTACGTTTACAAGTATAATGGAAGTAATGAGCGTGACGATGTTAGTAATGGCAACGGTGAAAATGAAGTTAACCATGAAAATAACGAAATCAATAATAAATACAAAATCAATCAAAATCAATTCAATCGCCGAAATCGATCAAGATTCCATTTACTCCTTTATTTATTCAGCAAGCAACTCAAAATAATAACGCCCAGAGGTTACACGTTGATGGTCTAAACTTTAACTCTACTAATTGTAAAGTTAAGGTTTTTATTAAGCCGTTGAAATAGTTTTTTAAATTGTAAATAACTTTAATGTAACTTATAAATTGCTGTAATTAAAGGGTAATATCCCGGTTATGCTTAAAATCTATTAAATACTTTGCTGATATATATTTATACATAATAAAAAAATCAGGATATTTCTCTTACTAATTTACTGAGATAATAACGTACTAACTGGATAAAAATCATGTGAGAAAGTTAAGCCTGAGAATTAATCATTGTATATTTCTCATTATTTTTTTACTAGATATAGTTAAGACAAGTCTGATTTCATATAAAGCAAAATATCGAGAGCTTGAAGAAGTGAATTTACACATTGTAAGATAAAAAAATTTACAAATATGTATATGTATATTAATATATGCAAATTTATTAATGACAATTATGAAAACCAACTATTCAAACAATCCTCAGACGAAATAATGAAACGAACATTTTTTCCAACTGAGAAAGACCATCTAAATAAAAATAACTCAACAGAAGTCAACCTAATTAGTTTGGTGTCAAAAGACAAACTGTACTGTGTACAAGACGATGCAACTGCATTTTATGTGATAAATGTAAAAAAAAAGGACATATATGCATAAGACTATTTTTCGTGGAATAACATGTGAGATGTAATTTCAGACTTGGGCCTAAATTAAGCTTAGTTCGGGTCAAATTCGAATAACGATCATCATATGGGCGAAAATTTTTAGCGGAATGCGGTGGCTATATAAAATTAGGGGACATACCAAAATAATAAGTCAGTTTAGATAATCTGTTCAAAGCACTGCTCGTAAAAACTGATAAGTAACTGATAAGTAACTCTTAAGCGATTCATAAGAAATTTTACAATAATCACACTAGCATTATATATAATATTGGCCCAACTTCTATTTAATCTCATCCTTCAACTTAGCTAATCACAAAGTTGAAAATTTCCGCTCATATTTGGGTGTTATTCGCGAAAATATAATCTGTGTAATAGATTTTCACCGATTATACCAGGAACGGAGTTTGTACAACAGTATAAGTGAAGTGGTGTATCTCCTTTGCATCTGATTGGGAGTGCATATGCACTTGATTTTTTCCAATTTACATATGAGGCTTCTCTACCTATGCGTAGCAGGCTATGTCTTAATTTCACTAATTTGTACGAGCATGCGTATTACAGTACTAATCTGATTTATTATCGTTATACATATATTACTATATATATATAAGAAATAAAGTGATATTTAAATCTGCAATACAATTACATAACCGTTCTGCATATATTTGCAGCATAGGATGTGTGCCAGGTTTGTAGCATAAACAAAATTCTTGCACGTCTTGAATGTGTGTCAGGCTTATGGACAGATTTCCTGAACTACGAATCAGATCCCAAGATCAGGTGAACTTAACACAAACCTTCATTTTGTCAAAATTTACTTATTTCTCAAAAATCAGTATAAGTAGCCACCTTTAGTGCTCTAAAAAAAGGGGGTCGTTAGGCAATTTTACTGTATAAACTACTACTTCTAATTCCTAAACCTGACCCTAACCTTAACTTAAACAAGTTTTAAAGAATTTTTGCTGCACCAAGAACCTAACACACATTCAAGTAATGCAAAATTCTTTCTATAAAGGCTAACATTCGTATTCAAGTTAGAATTAACGAGATGGTGAATTGGTTTGGAAAATAAACAGCTTTGACAAAACGAACGTTTGCTTTGAACCTTTCTAATCATGTCACGTTATATATGATCCTAAAAATTTATTTGTCCTTCGGGGACCATACATCACATGTCCAATAGTGCGACAACCTATATATTCCTCACGTCTCCCGTTCATGGTTTTGCGTGACAACGTCGCACAGCTATCTTATGAATCAAAATGGTCATCAGTGTATCGTATACACATCGTGTATTCGGCTACAGTTAATTGGTTTGTATTTTTGATTGCATATCGAATGACAAAGATTTGTAAAAGTTTGGTTGCGCAACAATTGATATAATGAAATTTGTTTTGTCAGAATAAATGATTAGTTGACATGTTTATACAAAAGGCGAGTTTTAGCCAATCATCCTACGATAGGACAAATTTTGTGTGATCTTTATCATCGACGATTCAATATCGATATTATCATGCAATTTATGCAAGTCGTGATTGGAATAATGTACAAAAAATAAAAAAAGAAAAAAAACAATGATAATAAGTGTTTGCTTGATAATATAAAAAAGCATTTCTAAATAATTTATATTGCTAAATGATGACCCTTTATTTTTACACGAATATGTAAAAATGCCTTACCAGTGTATTGTATGATTGGTTGTTTTTATCACACAATGAATGACAAAGATTGTACGTAAAACATTTAAATTGCCTGGAAAATGCTTAATAATAAATTTATTCCTTCCTACAATTACTCCTCCTTCTCACTATTATTCATTCATTATTTGAAATAATCTGTTGTGAATTTTAACCTCAAAATTTCAAGCAACGATGTTTTCTATGCTAACAGAATGGAGGTCTTACGTGGGTGATGCAACCATTTTGTTGCTTATTTAATTATGAAGTTTGAACTCACCATTACATTTTCATTTAGGTTGATATGTACGGAACAGTATATTGTAAGTATACTGTAATGTGTATTAATTAATTTTCTTTGTTAAATGTTTTTATAACTTCTAATTTTTTTTAAAAGACTATAATACAAGAACTGGTGTATCCCAACGAGTAATTTTTATTTTTATTTTTATTTATCAAGTAACTTGTGCTTGTATTTAATAAATTTCATATTTATATTAGAATCCTCCTTACCCAATGCGGTCATTCCCTCAAATTCCTAATCCTAACGCCAATACTTTATACCAGAATTCTCTTTACCAAGTGCCAACCTCTCAAAATCATAATCCTAATGTTAATATGTCACAACAGCTAGAACTTTTGAGGAGACAACAACAGCTAGAATTCTTTAGACGACAACAACAACTACAACATTTCAATGATGCATGCAGATTAGCTAGCAGCGTAAAGTTTTAACTCAAGCATACTTACAAAGCATGTTTGTTCACCGAAGTAGAACATAATGCTATGCTATTACAGAAATGCAAAGATTATGATTGGCATTAAATATATATTATGAGTGAGAATTATAATTATTGTATTTTACAATGAAACATGTCATTCGTTTGGGTATTCTTTTATCGTATTATATATTAATATCTATATTTATGTTGTTTATTTACTATTTTTGAAATCAATATTTTTATTTTTACTCTTACTAGTATTTTAGGTGGCGCTTCGCACCACCCTTTTATTCATTCTAAATATTGATTGCATATTTTAAATAAATTTGTTATGCCTGTGGCTAATTAAAGTAAAATATGATGTATTGATGATAACAAGTATTAAGAAGCCATGCAATAGCAAATATCAGTAAACTTGAAGCTTATCCTGAGGTACCATTTTCATACTTCGATTAAGTGAATTAGCAAATTTTTCAGGAGTATTAATTAATAAATATGTATACTGGATCATAATATTATATCATACTTTTATATGTTGAAAACTCTTATGATCTTGTATTTAAAATTAACTATACCGCAGAGGAGTGTTTTTCGATAGTAGTTTTGCTTGCATTTGCTAGATATTGTAAACCTTAATACAAAATCAAAATCATCGCGCGTATTAGCCGATTTTTTTGCTAAGATAATTGGAAAATAATTCTTTTAATGCATTATGAGGTAAAAAATGGATAATCTTGAGATTCGCTTATCAGGTAGAGTGTTGCATAGAACGAAAAATGAAATAAGAATGACAATTTATCATAATGATTTAACTATTGCTACGTTAATTGATTACAGTATCGAATTTAAACTCGACTTATGTTGCTACTAAATTATCGATAATCATATGAGTGCTGAAGAGCGAAAAGCTGGAAGTTAATATTTAAGTTTTCATCATGGCGAATTTAGTCCATTTAGTTTTGTGAATTCTGATGTTAAGTTATTAATCTTGTTTATAATAGTGTCCGGGTCATTTCGTAAAATTTCGTACGAACGTATTATTATTGTTACTGAACTATCAAACCATTGTTTATCAGTACGTAATATCGAAGTTCTTCAGGGCTAAATTCGCCACGATGATAACTTAAATATTCATTTCCAGCTTTTCACTCTGCAGCACTCATATAATAGTGTCAAATTTAGAATCAACTTAACAGTTAAGTCTCTTTTAAATTTCGTATCAACTTGGTCTACATTTGGAATTCCGCTTTAATCTAAGTGGATTCAATATTTCTGTTCCGACGTACGACATATATATTGTGCGTGAATTAGAATGGTTAAAGTAGTAAGTTACGTCGAACTAAGATTATCATATTCTAAACAAGCAACAAATGCTTGACAAGAAAGTTATTCAATGAGTCGCATCTTAAAGTCAGTAAAAATTAGTAAATTTGGGTACTTAATTATACGTCGACAATCTGATAGTTTTTATTATTGGTATATGGAGGTTATAGATGGATACAGAACCGAATTATTAACATGAATATAGATCAATTTAGGCAAACAAATAAATTTTCGAATAATTTATTTATAGATTTATTTATACCGAACCTTCTAATACAGTATTATTGGAAATATAAAGTTCATGTAAGTATTTAATTTAAATAAATAATGTAACATAATTTAAAATAAATATTTTTAATTAGACTACGCATATATGGTGTATAGTTTATTTGTCAATAATGCAAATTTACAGTATACTATCATATTTAATCTCTAATGGACTGATGAATTGTTACATCATGTCATATATTAATATCGTTCTTTTAGCACTTAAACTTTTATTATTATTTAAATAAATGAATGTTTTTAATTAATCGGTAAAACTTACACATGTCGAGAGTGGCGATTTACCCCGATTATCCGATTATAATGCAACTGCTAAATAAAGTTTAGTTTTAATAAACCCATTATTAGCGACCAAGTTAATAATGCCCTAGTCAATCATGCCCATGTCATCAATTCAAAGTATGATTAAAGTAAAAGTCCGATTTAATTCTGTTCATTTTATAAATTTATTGATCACTTTTCAGACAATAATTCTTCATATCTACTCATTTTACGATAAGTATCTCCACGATTGTGTAATGTAACTGCATAATTTGGTCTGATTTATTATAATCTGCAAGTGCTTCTTCATATCTACTCATACTATCATAAGTAGCTCCACGATTAGATAATGTATTTGCAACATTTGGACTTATTTCTAATGATTTATTATAATCTGCAAGTGCTTCTTCATACCTACTCATATGTTCATACGTTACTCCACGATTATTTAGAGTATTTGCATCATTTGGACTTATTTCTAATGATTTATTATAATCTGCAAGTGCTTCTTCATATCTACTCATACTATCATAAGTAGCTCCACGATTAGATAATGTAT